ACTAGGGAAGTTTATTAACAAAAACAAACCAAACCAAATAATTATAGCATATGTTAATATTTTGTGTTAAAATATTATACAGGGTGACCTGAAAATGGCGAACCATATTGTAAGCGGGGTTATTATAAAAAAATTCCCAAAATGTCTTTTGTCAAATAGGTAGTTTTTAAGTTATAAAATTTTAAAAAAAAAATTTTAATCTCGACTGCGGCAACGTTGCAAATTTAGGGGTTTGGTTGGTAAATACGGAACAAAAATTGGTTGCATTGATTAAAACAAGCTAATGATGTAATTATGGTTATGTTTAAATTATTTTAGGTAACATTGAACGGTTGTCAAGTTGAGTCAAGTTGAGTTGTCAAAATTCGTAGGCCTCTATTGGTTTCTATAGGGTGTATCAGTATAAATATGGCCCATAGTTGGGATTTATGGTTGTTCTATAGGGATATCCTTCCTTGATTTATTTGCTATCGATCTCAATATGGAAAATACAAATAAATGTAGAAATTAGTTTTTCTCCCATATACATAGGACCCCATATGTTTTAACAAAATTTTATGGTTGCTCTATATGGATATTCCTTATATATTTGCTATCGGTCTTGATAGGGGAAATGTAGGAGTTATTATATACCATATAATATTATGGTGTAGGTAATTTCCTATAAATTTTCTATCGGGCCATATCCGGAAAAAACATGGACAAATGCACATATTGAGTCCGTTAGCGACCGATAGATTATTTTTATGTGTCTATGGGGTATTTTAAGCAGGGAGTTAAATTTAATTAATTTGGCTTTGGTGGTGCGTAGATGAGTAAAATCATATAAAAAAGTAGTTAAATATAGGTGACTACGGCCCAGGAGAGACCAAGTATTCCTAGCGGATAATAATCTTCGCTTTAAAAAGAATTAATAAAAAATAAATTAAAATTTTATATGAACACACGTGAATGTTGTCCAATCAATAGACTCCAATGGTGAATGGGTATTTTGTTAAAGCCACTGGATGTTAATACATGTAGTGGGTTGATAATAATTATATATGTATAATAATATGTATAATATACATTGTATATATAATTATATATGTATTGTCCAGGACTATTAATGATCAGTAACTTGCAAATTAAAAGAAGAAAAAGTTTCGTGATTATTGCTTTTTTTTTAACGAAATGGATGCTATTTTCAAAGACAGGAAAACTACTAGATTTTTCACAAAAAGGTATACCTATTAGAAAATAATTTTCATTTTTTGTTTTTTTATTTCCCCCTTATTTTTTAAAATTTAAAAAATTTTTGATCTGCTTAGCTAAAAATAATGTGTGATTTAATATTTGTGAAACCAAAAACGTTAGTTTTTACTTCAAAAAAAGTTCTTTTACTTTAGAATCTGGTATTATTTTTGAAATAGTTATCTTTTTATATCGATATTATATAATAATTAACAAGTAAATTATCAATATTAAATATTACTGTCAATTTGACAGTGTAAGAGTATTTAATTAAAATACTAAAAATACTAAATCAAACTGGCATAAGCTACCAACTTAATTAAAAACAAATAAAAAATGAACTGTATTTATAGAAAAGGATTAAACACCATTTTCGAATGACGTTTAAAAAAAATTGTTAAAAATAGTAAAAACTGTTAGAAAATACATGTGTCAACCATGTAAACTTGAAGTCGCTGTAGATGCATTGTATATATTGTTTCCATAACAACCGTTTTTAAATCGGCTTAAAAAATACACAACCTTACCTAAATGCATAATAACTAGAAAGTTAGTAGCTTTAAGCTACTTGTCGGATTTTTTTTGTAATTAAATTATGGTATTTTAACAGTAAGTACAATATCCTAATTAGCTCAAGCTTAAGCTTTGGCCCCACAATTACATAATACTTTGTATATATTCAAGTATTTTGCGTTTTAATAGGATTATATATACAAAAATGGATAGTTTTTATAAAAATGTTATGTTTTATACCGAAAATGGCACACGATTATTAAAGTACAATTTTTTGAGTTACGGTTTTTAACATTAAATTTTATTTATTATATTTAAATGCTTTAAAGGGTCTGTTCTGTAATTTTTAGTTATAAATAACCCTGTATTATTAGTTTATTTACAACCAAATCTATATAATTTTAACTCTAAATCGTATTCTAGTTAATACGTATAAAATAAGTACTTAATTTTTATTTTACCTATTTCTAAAAAAATGTCTAGAAACAAAAAAAACCTGCAGAATACAACCCATGGTTATTTATAACCATAAAATTACAGAATTAAACTAAACGCTTAAAACTCAAAAACTACTCATACTTGAAATAACTCTCACTAACAAGCGATGCTGTTAGTAATTTTCGAGACACCGTTTAAAAATGTATGTAGTATTTATAATTAATTTAACTAAAAATGATGTAGCTAATAAATCTATTAAATAATATCACATAATGGAGTGCATAATAGCATATCCTATTTTCACCAAAATTATTATTTCATTTGTTGATTTGCTAAATTTCAATACACATTTTGGGGTATATTTGTAATTATACTCTCTAAAAATAAATTAGTCAAAAATGACTAATAGTTATTAGTGGGTGCTTTTTCACTTGTACCATGGTTAACCATGGTATTCCAAAATTTAACAGCCAATTCTTAGGTAAAATTGTCCCCTGAATCCGAAAATTTAGTTAAAAAAGTAGAACAGTTTTTGAGATATAGTCAATTTTCCATTTAATATGGAATTGACAATATTGATATATATCTCAAAAAATACTCCACTTTCATAATTTTGATTATTTTTTTTGACAGTTCTCTGTATTGTTGGGACATTGTTGAGGCATTGTTGTTGAGGGAACCTACAGCGAATTACAGCGATAATTTTTTGAAAATTTTCTCTGGTAGTTGCTATATATAAAAAACAAATTAAATCTTAATTAAATGTTGTTTTATTCATTATGAAATTCTTATTTGTTAACTGTACATGGTGCAATTCTATTGGCCGACATTTGGGACGGAAAAATAATCCCCCGAATACCACACGAGCTTCAAAATTATCTGGCATTTCCCTCAAGGTTCCCTGCAAACAAATAAAGTCGTCAAGTTTTTCAGGAAAAATCACTCGCGCTTCGCGCTCGTGATTTTTTAACCTGAAAAACTTGACTCCTTCATTTGTTTGCAACGAACCTATCGGGAAAAATACCCGATAATTTTGAAGCTCTTGTGGTATTATAAGTGATAATTTTTGACGGCCTTTTTGGATTCAGGGGACAATTTTACAAAAAAATTGGCTGTTAAATTTTGGATACCATGGTATTCCATGGTTTACCATGGTACAAGTGGAAAAGCAGCCACTAATAACTATTAAATTAGTAATTTTTGTCTAAATCATTTTTAGAGAGTAGGCACCAAAATAAGAAAAATGGTACGTTTTTTAGAATTCAGAAAAATATAATTTTTTTGCGATGTTTATTTTTAGATTTTTAAATTATACTAACATATTTTTAAAAAAATAACAATTTTTATAATATATTGAGATATCCATGTTATGGATTCCATAATTTGTCTTGCTATACTTAATATTCTTTAAAAAACTACTTATATGTAAATTCTGGATATTTTTGTTAAAAAACTTAATAAAAATGCAAATCATAATTTAAAATTTGAAGTCCTATTTAAACTAAGTGGGTAGTTACATCAATATTTCAAAGTACCTAAAATATAAATCTTTATGAACGTAAGAAGTTGGTGGCTTGTGTTCAAACGATGAGCTCGTAAGTGCAAAGTATTTGCAGCTCGTTTACGGATTTTATTTTCGGCATCATCGTTGCCAAGAGAAGTTTTTATAGTTCCTAAATTTAATGCCAAGAATCATTATACAAAGCCATTTCCTTTATTAACAATAATTTTGATTAAACGCAAAGTAATTTGTTGGTGTGGAATTTTCACTTATCACGGTGCTGTTCTGAGAGGTGATTTTTGGACTTTCTGTGAAACCTAATTTTTTTTATATTCTTATTAATTGTTAAAAATTTTAGGGTTAATTTTGTTTTAATTGGATGTTTATTAAAAATATGTATGCACACTTTCAATTCTCCAATTAAAACTTGCGATTTTATTTAAATATTATCATAACTTTTTAAATCAGATTAAAGATTAGTTAATTTCCTAAAAAAAGGTTATACATTTTTTATATCTTTTACTGTTTTGTTGTAATACACGTTTAAAGTTTTAATTTAAGGTTAAATGCATAGTATACATTTATTAAACAATAATTCTAAGGGTGCCACATTTTATTTAGGGCCGATTTATTCATTTTTGATTTATTTGACGAATAATTTCTTTGGATACTAGATATTGCCAAGACATGAAAGTTATCGGCCCGATAAACTTTACTAAAGATGAATAAACCGGTCCTTAGTTAAATTTCATGAATTTCTTCGTAACTTTTACTACAATTTTTCATTTTTGTTTATAAAAACACTTTAAAAAAATAAACAAAAATTATAGAATACGTATACTGAAAATGACAATTCAAACATCAAATAAATTTTTAATAGATCTAAGTTTCATGGCAACCTTTAAGGATATATTAATTAAGGGAACATAAATGTATACGTCAAAGGTTAGATTAAAAGTTTGAACGTTTATTGCAACAAAACAGTAAAATATATAAAAAAAATTGTAAAAACCTTTTTTTTAGTTATGCAAATATTAAATATTTAAATTAAATCGCTAGTTTTAATTGGATAAATGAAAGAGTGCATAATATTTTTTATAAACAGCCAATTAAAACAATTCAAACCGTCAAATTTTTTTTATTTTGCTCTTAAAATTTTAGTTATGACCTAATTAACAAGAATATAAAAAAAATTAGGTTTCACAGAAAGTCCAAAAATCACCTCTCAGAACAGCACCGTGTTATGCTAAAAGCATTAACCTTGTTTTCTTATTTCAGCAATAAGATATCGTCGGTGATTGGAGACTGGTCGCACATGAAAAACACCGTCGCGACGCTTTTCCTCGGAGAGAACGACATCACGGAAATACCGAACGAGACGTCCGATCACATCTCCAAAAATCTGCACGGTCTCAGGCAGTTCAAGTCTCTCATTTGGCTCAACTTGGACGGAAACAGAATATATAAAATCCATAAGCACTCTTTACCGCTTACTCTACAGACCGCCAGTATTTCGCATAATTTGATCGAGAATTTTCCGCTAGACATCATCGCAACGTTGCCTCATCTGCAATGGCTCTATTTGCGCGGGAACCACATAAAAACGATACCTGAGCACACGTTTAATAGGAAATTATGGCTCGAGAAGATCGATCTGGGCGAAAACTACCTAAAAACTTTGCCGCGAAATCCGTTTAACAACTCTGTTTACATACGCGACCTGAATTTGGCTCTGAACGATTTCAGAACTCTTACGGCGAACAGTTTTTCCGGGTTACAGTGCGGCCGAATCATACTTTCCTACAACTTGTTAGAAACCCTCGACATAGACACGTTTTATGAAATCGACGAGTCCTTGGAATATCTTGACTTCGATCATAATAATTTTCAACAAATACCGCAAGCCGTCAGCCAATTAAAATCTCTGAAATACCTCTACTTATCGTCGAACTTGCTAAGTGAAATACCTGACAGAGCGTTTGAAAATTTTTGTTTCAGCTTAAAAGCTCTTAGTCTTAGCGGAAATCATTTAACTAAAGTTCCCACAAAAGCGTTGCAAAATTGCTCGAAAATTGCACATTTTAATATAGCTTTCAACGAAATCTACGAGATTGGCGAGAACGACTTTAGCAACTGGGGATATAATATAAAAAACCTTGTCTTGGGTAACAACCGCATTACAACGCTGAAAAGCCAGATATTCGCCGATTTGCGAGAGCTAAAAGAACTTAGCTTGAGTTTTAACCCTTTGAGAGTCATTGATAGTGACGCATTCACTGGATTAGAGGGTTTGGAGAGCTTAGAAATGTCATTCGGACTCGACCGTGAAGATTTGCCCCACGACATTCTCAAGCCATTAACAAACCTAAAATGGCTCTCAATCGACCACAACAACTTCCATACCTTATCCGAAGTATCCTTCGACGCCCTTTCCGAACTTAAGTATCTCAATTTAGAATTCAATAAATTAAAAACCATACCGACTAACCTTTTTAAACCGATTCGCCACTCCAAATTAAATGATGTCCGCTTTTCCAGCAACGAGTTAACCGGCATTCAATCCGACACATTTCGCTCTTTAGTCAGCTTAGAAACAATCCTACTCGCAGGAAATAAAATTAAACACATTCAAACAGACGCATTTAGTGATCTGCAGAGTCTTAGCAAATTAATTATCTCAAACAACCTCTTGAGTCGAATTAGCCCGGGAGCCTTTTCTAATTTGCCTGCGTTATCTAAACTCGATTTACAGAATAATGTACTGTCTGAAATTTCTTTTATTTATTTTGCTAATATTTCCAATCCTCTAAAATTAAATTTAAGTCGAAATCAGATTTCATCTTGCAGTTCCGATATGAAAATTTTAAACATTGAAGTATTAGACTTGCGGTACAACAATTTGCCTCGCGTGCCCAACTGCTTAGAACACACTGCTTTACTCAAGAAACTCTATTTAGACTTTAATATTATTTCAGCTCTCGAGCATAATGGTTTTATGCATCTAACGTCATTAGAATATTTATCTTTGCAACAAAATAATATTATGATTGTAAGCAGAAAGGCTTTCTTTGGTTTACAAAATCTACAATACCTGGATTTATCAAAAAACATTTTAAACCAGCTGCATACAAATCAGTTTACAAACATGCCAAAACTACGTATATTAGATTTAAGCGGTAACAGACTCACATACCTTCCCAAAGACATATTCAGTAACACTTTGCTGGAAATGTTGGACATCAGTTACAATGCATTTTCCGTTGTTCCTAGCCTAAGTCTATCCGACGTCGGATTAACATTAAGACATCTCTCAATGGCCACCAATAACATCGAACACATCGATATAACCACGTTCCCAGATATGCCGTTTTTGCAGCATTTAAATCTAAACAGCAATAAATTAACCATCCTGCCGGACAACGTTTTTACCAGTCTGGGATTGCTGCAGACGCTCGACCTGGGATCCAATCCTTTACGTGCGAATTTCAAAGAGCTGTTTCACTACGCGCAGAGTTTGAAACATTTAAACTTGGCCGATTCCGGAATTACTTCCACTCCTCATTTACCGCTGCCAAACTTAGTCCACCTCAACCTATCCCACAATCACATCGAATCGATTAATAAGAACTCCGTTCAAGAACTATCCAGACTGAAGACGCTGGACCTAAGCCATAACGACATGTTCCAAGTCCCCTCGCATCTGTGGATTCATCTGCCCAACCTAAAAACTCTCGATATCTCATATAATCCAATCAAAGAGATTATCTCTGATAGCTTTTACGGCTTGCAAAATTTACAAGTCTTAAATATACAGGGTCTAAGATATTTAAACAGGTTTGAAAGTAAAGCAATAACGCAACTAAGAGTATTATCTACCATCCAAATGCAAACATGGCCAAAGATTGATCATTTCTCCGACCAATTTTGTAACTTACTATCGAATACCGACCAGCTAAGAATACTTAAGATACACTTTATGGAAAACAAATTAGATGAGCAATTGTTATGTGTAACTAATAGGAAAATTCGTCATTTAGAAATAACAGGAAGAAACTTAAAGTCAATAGACAAGGATGCGTTTGCAAGATTCACTAGAAATCCTGATTTGGTACTAAAAATAATCAACACTGACATCGAGGAATTGCCAGCAGGCCTATTCTCAAACATGTACAAAATTTCATATCTTACAATAGATTTAAGGAATAATCTACTCACATTTTTGAGTCCAGAAATATTTTATGGCAATTCCAGTTCATGGAAGAATGTAGGAACTACATTAATTTCAGGTAAGCCAAACCTAATTAGTTTTTGTAAATAGCTTAGTTGCAAAAATAACTTGACTAAAACATAATAACATTTAAATAAAACAAACAACGTAGGTACCTAAATTAAAGAATAATAAAGATGTTTTTTAGTTTGCACAAAGAAAGTCATAAAACTTTTAATTAAGAAGTTGTTTTTTTAACTTTCTTACAAGACCTAAAACGCAACATAAAACTAAAAGATATAATAAAATATTCCCTTGAAACTAAATTTGGACCTCATAATGTAAACTAAGAGTTCTACAGAAGTTTTTAATAGTTGTATTATCAAATAATTAAGTAAAATTAAACATCCTGTCTTAAAACTTTTAATAAAACTTCAAAGCTAAATTAGAACTTAAAAAGTTCGTTAAAATTATCTTTATTATAGGAGTAATTTTATTATTATCTTAATTTTTATGTGAGCAAAAAGAGATTTTTAAACCAATTTAATAAAAATAGTTGTGTAAAATTATAAGTACACTTTTGAAGAAGATGACAGGCATTGAGAATTAGAGTAATGATTCGTTCTGTTGTAATTATGAGATTGATTTACCTATTTAATTAATTAATTTATAAAACTCTTTGGTACCTACTAATTGACCTCTAACATTTAAATTGGAGTTGTTCCCTATCTTGTAACGTTATTAGAATTAAAGGAAGTTAACTAATTACTAATAGTAATGGATGCCGATGGGCTCACCTCAAAAATGAAAACATTTTAACCCCATCAATTTTTTTTAATGGTGCCTATTTAAAACTACGACTACTAATATTATAATTATATTAATATTACAATGGAAATTTTTTTTTAATGTTTTTCATTTTATTTTCATACAAAATTGATTTATCCCAAGTGGGCTAGTATTGACTATGAAATCCTTAAGGCTATTGTAGTTAAAGTATTAATTATGAGACACCCTATATATTAAACAATTGTTAATAAACAGGGTGTTCTTAAGTATGTATAATACATATACCAGACGATTCTTTGAGTGATTTTGAGACAAAAATGTTTAATAAACATGGGTCCACAAATGCTTTGTTTTCAAGATACAGGGTGTGATTATTTAATTGGTTTTTAGTAAATATCTTAAATATCCTTTACCCAATTTTATTGTTATTAAATAACAATAAAATAAGTCCAGTGGCGTCCGGAGCGGCTACTTAACGAATATTTTTACAAATTTTGACTTTTTTTATTTTTATATATTTTTTGGATTAACCATAAATAGGTACATCTCTTTTGTCTTCTGAATTTTGTTCTTGCTTAATTTTTGAGAAAAAAAAATAAAATCCACACAGTGAAGTGAATTTTATTTTTTTAACCAAGAAAAATACAAAAAAAATTTACTAGACAAAAAAGTTGTATTTTTAGTTGCTTGATGCAAAAAATATAAAAATTACAAAAATCTCAGAAGCGTACTTTTTTGGTCTTAGGACTTATTAGCTTAATTTAAGTTAGAGCTAAATTCGCCCCTTAACACTACAAATAACACATCCAAATTACAACAGAATTGAGTAAAGGATATTTAAGATATTTACGAAAAACCTATTTAAAAAAAAGGTTTAACACCCTTGTAGTGTTAAAAAAAAGCATTTGCGTACCCATGTTTATTTAAACTTTTTGTCTTAAAGGATCGTCTGTTAAGTTTATTGTACTTACTTAATTAACAATTAAAAATTTTAAATTAAATTATAACATTTTAATTTAAAATATTTTTGCTTACCTAATATTGCACATTCGGGGGTTTTGCTTAGCACGGCAGTATAGGACCCGGATTATATCCATTTGCTTAATGCATTTTCATTTTTACCGGGTATTGCATATTTTACCTTAAGTTATAATAATGTAACGTTTTTACTGTTCGTAGTGTGAATTAAAAACACGCACTGGTTTATTAACGAACTAAACTATTTATTTTATAACTTAATTACACTTAAAACACTATAAAACTAACTAAACACTTAACTACTAATTATTTATATATCACTCCTATTCAAGAGTTTATTTATTTGCACGTATATTTATTTATTTCGTCGCGAGTACCAAAGCTTGACTAACTTCTCCCGGCTCCGATGTTCCTTATATATTCAGTGCCTACGTGACCACGTCACAATAATAACAATCACTATATATAGTGATGATGCATATTTTCGCTATATTTACAATATTTTTCGGTAGGGTCTCCAGCTAATAAATGCAGTGACAAAGCAGTGGTTTTTATGCAAGTGTTTAAGTTGCTCACGAGGCTGTGCATTAACACAGGCTTGAAGAAAGCTTTTCTTACAAGTAAAATACAATGTTTTTTCTACGACCCTTGCCTTGCCAATGACAAAATTCATTTTCTAAGCAACGATCCCATTACGAAATGTGACTTACATAGTGGTCATAGAAAAAAATATTTTCTGAACAGCCGGTCCACTTCAAAGAAAAGCCGATCGGCACGTGCGGCACTTAGCTGGCGCGCGTCTATTATTTTTTTGCTCGCCTACTGCAGCACTCCAGCTAGGCAATTAAATTTCGCATTTATTAATTAATTTATAAATTTATTTGTGCAAAGTTTATTGTTTTATAATGTCAAGTGTAGAACAATAGGTACCTGATTGTTTATTTTAACAAATAAAACAAAATGTTAAATATTCGTTTATTATCGAATGTATGCTATTTATGTTATGTACTAATTGCATGCCAATTTTTTACGCATTTATTTATTTGCGCAAGGTTTAATGTTTTATATTTTCAACAAAATGTTAAATAATGTAATAAATATTAAGATTTTTTTATTTTTAACTATAAAGTATAAAGTATACTTAAATATTGATGAAGCGCATTTATTTTACAAAAACTAAATTTATAAGTTCAACAGTAAAATTTAAAGGATTTATAACTTTACCTATATATATATTTAATAAACGTAGTGGTTCCATTTAAAAAAGGAGGGATAGACTATCCCGGATAGTATAATCTAATTTAAATTTGACAAAGAAAGTTAATATAGAAGTAAAAACAAATAAATAAAAGTAATTATAACGCTCTAGCAACGATATTGAAACGTTCTAGTATCGTAGCAGCAACGTTCTAAATAGTAGCAGGGTTTATAGCTATAGCTAGTGGGGAACAATTATTGAGTTCCAAAAAGGTAACAAATATGTCACTATAGTGATATAATAATATTAATTATAATGAAAGAGTAATATAAAGAGACCGGCGACTGTCGCAAAACACTTTAAAGTTTCTTCAATAGTCCCATATACCTACGTAACAAAATTTTGGTTGCAGTATTTGCTCTAATTAGAGATGATTTAAATCATGATTTGCACCTAATATGGATGAGACGAGTTGCACTTCCTCAATTATTAAAATTATCTCTACTTTTATAAAATATTTCTTGGTTTTTTTTTGTTTAATGTAGGTTTTTTTTATTTAATGTAGGTATACCTATACCGTACCTTCATTTGCAAGCTAACCATAGGGAAAATAAATTGTAACTGGACCAGATAAGTCTTAGTCAGCACGAAGCGAAAAACGTTGTAGAAATGATTTGGACGCGTGGACGAGTAGGCTAGCATGCGCCGTAACAGTTTACCTTGCTTAAGCGAATTCGTACATCGATGCTTTATTATTGTTTTTTATTTTTTGCGGTGTAAATCTGGTAAAAATTTTTTTAGTACGCATGTCTCGACGACGCATCCAAATCATTTCTGAAAAGGTTCTCGTTTTGTGTTGACCATAGAAAACCCCGAAGGTGTTGACTGCGACTTATCTGGTCCAGTTACAATGTATTTTCCCTATGGTTAGCTTGCAAATGAAGAATATTTTTTACAATTTTGATGCCAAAAAAATTATACCTATAATAAATTATCTACAATATTTTTTTTATAAAAACAGTTTTGTAATTCGTGCTTTTCGCGCATTGTAAATGGGCGTTATGTACTAATTGCATGCCAATTTTAAAATAATAAAAAATATATCTTTACTTTTCATGCATATTTTAAGTTTTTTTATGTTGCATATAATCCGGGTCTATTCAAAACTTTTGAATCAAAACATATATTTTTTTCAGGTGGTCTAACAATATCCGACAACCCCTTCCGTTGCGGGTGTCATCTGGCGTGGCTCGGCCACTGGCTGAGGAGGTGGACGCGCGAGATTCTTCAGACGCACAACGCGCCCGTCGAGACTGCAATGCGCATGCACGAACTGGTCAACGAGGCCACGTGCACGGACAGCACGACCGGCGTCCGGATTCCGATCGTGCAACTTCCGCCCGAAGACATGAGCTGCCACGCCAGTGCACTAAGTAGAGCGCCAAATCCAAATAACACTTCTGTGATGTTAATTTTATTATTGTTGTTGTTTATTGTTAATTTTGTACATTGTTTTACCATTGTTTAAGTAGCATACCTATATAATATATTGTTATATAAGTATTATTTGTGTAGATGCATATACAGGGTGTTTACGAAGTATGTTTAAAACATTTAAGAGTCTCCTTTACCATAAAAAAAGGTTTAAGACGACTTTTTGATAGCTTAGTATTTTTTTTTGAATATTTTCATAGTGGAATTAGCTCCCCAATTTATCATGCACTAAGAACCACTAAATACAGAGACTTTACACTATTTAAATTTCATTAAAATTGCTGAAATCACTTGGTAATCAAAAAAGGAAATGGATAAAATATATAAAATTAATTTAATTTTACAAAAATATATTTGAACTTTTTACCTTTCTGGCGACATAATTACCATCTACGAAATGTACCATACTTATTTAAACACCCTGAAATATTTTTAAGACTAATAAAGTAAAAACCAAAACTATTGAGGAAAAAAGAGGTTTACCGCATCCCTGTAAATATAGTCAATAAGTCAAAGTCAATCATTAAAAAGTATTATGCCCAAGTCAATAAAAACTTGTCATTGTCCTCAATAACTGTATTATAAAACCAATTAAACTAAAAACTCAACTCTTAATTAATTTAAACAATTGTTTTGCCTAAAAAATAAAAATAATAAACCTAGTTGTTAATTTTTTATGTAAATTGTGTAAATATAACATAAATTAACTATAAACATATCATGCCCATTAGAGTGTAGGGGTTTGTTTTTTTTTAATATGATTGCTCAAAATAAGAGATGTCAATCAGATTGCACACGACTTGTTTCAAAACAATTTAAATAATACTAAAATAGTGTTTTGTAATGATAAATAAAGTAATATATAACTTGTTATAATTTTATTTTTTATTTGCCTATCCTATCTCAAATACATATTCTTTAGAAAAACAAGACCTTGTGCTATGAAAGTTTTATGATATTTTTATTTATATTTTAGTTTCCAAAACATTTTGGGAAACTTTAAAATTTTAATATAAAGTACTGTATGTTAAAAAAATCCTAATATATATTTGGCCTTTTAAAAGTTTTTTTTAGTGAAAAACATTTATTATTATAATTATTTTATAAGTCAGTGAAAGAAAATGTAGCAAGGATAATTATTTTCAAGAAAACATTAAAGGATATTTTTCATGAAACTACAAATCTACACATTTGGTAAAAAATAAAATTTATTGCAATTTTCAGTAAAACATTACTTTATAGATGTCCTTCTTTATATATTCGTATATTTCTCAAAAAGTGTTTTATCTTTTAGAAAGGTGACTTTACCAATCAAATGTAAATATTTTCATTCATTTCATTCTTCTCAGTGTCTAGTTATTTTTTCATGATTTATCATTTTGTGCGTTTATCTTCATCTCAAGCATATCAATCCTTGTTTTTAAAATAGTATTTTCTTCATTTAGTCTTATAATTTCCTCCATTGCTTCTTGTGTGGCGGACTTCTGTTCTTCCAAAGCATCACTTATATTTTGCATGGATTTCTTTAGTTCCAAAATATCAGTTTCAAAGATTGTTTTTATTGGTAAGAAATATTCATTTAATAGTTTCTCTGCTTTGCTCATTAGTTTTGGACTTTTTTGGTTCTCTTCAGAAAATTTGGGTTTATGGCTATTATATTTACGTTTTTGAGAATCTACATGTTCTATTAATTGAAAAAAAACTGCATCCACTGGAATTTCTTCTAAACCTGTTTCATCAGATGTTTTAGTATTTTTTGAATATTCTGGTGCAGAGCCAGACTCCATAAAAGATTCTGGATCTGATGGAGGTTCAACTTTTATTAATTCAACCAAATTTGCATCCACAGGAATTTCTTCTAAAAATGTTTTATCAGAGGTTTTACTATTTTTGGAATATTTTCGTGTAGCGCCAGACTCTATAAAAGGTTCTGGACTTGATGGCGGATCTTCTTTTATTAATTCTTGTTCACATCCTGGAAATAAAATATTTTATATATACTGCCCGTCAAAATTAACGCATAATAAGTACAAAAATTCTAACTATAAAACGCCTTTATCAATCTTTATGAAATGTTGTATAAAAATACTTTAACTTATATCTCAGTTTAAATTAAAAATATGGTGTTAAAGACCGTATTTTTGTTAGTATACCCTAAAAATTTTGTACAAATCAAACAAACAGTAACAAAGATACAGCGCTTCAAAGTCGGTAAAAATGACCCCTTTTTGATTATTTTGCTGAAAAATGGTAATTTTTGACGACTTTGAAAAATATCCTTTAATGTTTTCTTGAAAATAATTATCCTTGTTACATTTTCTTTCACTGACTTTTAACAAAAATACGGTCTTTCACATGAAATTTTTTATTTACCTACCTCAAAAAAAAAATTTACCATAAAAGTTTTTTTTCGAGCCTTTTTTATTATTAAATAAAAGGGCTTTAAGGATATTTTCTCGAAAAACCCTTGAACACGTAAACAGATATAAGGTATTTTTATCGAAAAATTTATAAAGATTTGTAAAGGCGTTTTAGAGTTGGATTTTTTTACTTTTTATGCGTTAATTTTAACGCGCAGTGTATATTTAAATATATTTTAAATATTTTAATTCATGCAACAATATTTTTCCAGCAGATTTTTTTAGAAACAATTGTATCATTAATACAATGGATGGTTTTTATTTTTTATAAATTGTAGAAAATTATTAGCTGTTCTGCGTTAATAAAACCTCATTTTTTTATGTACCAAACGTTATGTGATCAAGTTAGTTTGAAATCTGAAAACAAAAGCTTAATTAATTGCACCTGCGTAGAATGTGCGCGCACAGGTATACCTCAATTATACCTATAGGTATAATTGAGGTTAAATTCAGTGTTGTTCCGTCTATTTGAAAAGTTCCATTTGAAAGTTTCTATTACACTATTACATTTGCCTAAAATCGATTACATTTTTGTCCAATGATTTACTCAAAATGAAATAGGTAAAACTCTCTATTGTATTTTATATTTTTTGTTGTGTTTATGTTTTCTAACTATAATAATTAAGAAGAGTCAAAATTTTTGAAGTGGGCCCACTATTTTTAATGTAGGTAATATTTTATTTGTTACTATTTATTTTTACAATTAAACATATGACAATTTTATTTAGATACCTGCAATATAGGTACTACGAAAAATTCGAAAATGTTTGGGTATGATAAGTGTAGGCGAACTTTACATGGATACAATAGACAATTAAAAATAAATTAGGTAGAGCTATAAATAGTTAACTATAAATATTGTTATACATTTTTTGTAAAGAAATGCACTTTTAAATCAGCCAGTATGCTGGCTCATTTTTTTTATTTGGAATGAATTATAATTCATTCAAAATTTAAAAAATTCTTTATTTATTTATTTAGTAAAGGCTTTGTTATCTATGGTAAATATAAATAAGAACACAAAAATCAAAATGTGGTTGGATTATTTTTACATTTAGTTGCCTACGGTAGGCAGCCTACCTAAATATTTTCAAGATTACCTACCTACATGGTATTCACAATTTTAAAAGGCCATATTTCAATTTTTACTTGAATGTCATTTTTCGACAAAATCACAAAGGTGTGGTTAAAAGGCATATATTATGAATATGTTGCAGAAGATGTTGAATATCAAGAATATGATGAAGAAGGGATGTGTTTATGTAATGAGCCAGAGATGGATATCCTTAAAATTTTTTGTTAGCACAATAAAGATATTTTTCCATATATTCTTTTAAAAACGATAATCAATAAAAAAGTAATATTTCCAAGTTTGTACATAGTAGGGGTGTCAATCCCGAAAAAATATATATCATTAATTTTAAAACTAATTTAAAATAAAACAACAAACAAACTAACGAACGATATCTTTCGGACTTCTCACTAGTAGGAAGAATGGTTTTCAAGAATTCGTAGGCACATTGTACCCACGTTTACCCCCATTAACAAATAATTCCATTTCTTTTATCAATCGGGCCTTGGTGAGTTCCAATTGGGGCTGTAACTTACATTGAAATTATCAAGTTTGTGATATTTTTTCAGGTTTGACGTTTGAAATATGTTATATTATAGGTTATGTACATAAATTTATTCTACAGTGACCTGTAATTTTACATGCTGATTTTATGCTATATAATCTATCTGATGGAACCACTCTTGCCATGTAATTTCAATGTATTTTCATTAGTGAACGGCGGTATATAATAATTTGACTTGAACTGAGTAAAAAAATGAAGTGTTTATATATATGCTTAGGAGTATTATAATATGAAAAATGTCATACGCTTAAAAAAAAGTCTATTTTATTCTTGTAACTTATTACTAAGATCCCGGGATTGGGACTTTTAATCCCGGGATTTTCTGGATCGGATTTTTTACGGGATCCCGGGACCCCGGGATTTCGGGATCCCGGGATTGACACCCCTAGTACACAGCAAAAAGGCACATTTCCAAAATGATTTCATACAAAAGGTCTTATAATTTTTAAGAATACCATTGCTATAAATATTTAAATTTAAACCACCAATGTGACAAGGTGAAGGTCTGAAGTAGTATTATATATTCATCAGAATTTTTTTTTAAATAATCTATATCGCCCTAACCTATACACTGTATAGTATACAGGTTATATTCATTTTTTGAAAATGTGTTGCAAATGGAAATACTACTTTTTGAAAAATCACTCCTTAACTTAAACAACATTATGAATAAAAAAGAATTAAACAATGACAGTTCATTAAAATATCAAATTTATTTCGCCCATATGGGCGGATCCACGTGGGGGGTAATATTTTTTTTAATTCCAAAGATAAACAAAAAATAGGTTACAAAAATATATGTATAAATATTCATAGACATGTGATTTAAAAAAATTGTCCCCCCATTAAAATGTTTATATGGATCCGCCCTTGGCCACTAAAAGGTTAGGGGCAGATCCATTTAAAGATTTTAATGATTTTATGAAAATTTAGTGAAAAATGTTTTGGTTTCAAATAAATAAATAAATGCACTTAACAATAACTTCTTTAGGGAGCATAGACAAAATTATAAAAAAATGCTTACCTGGCATATTAAGTTTTGGAAATGCAGTTCTTTTTATAGTTTTATTAGGACCAAAATCTGATGTTTCAAAATGAATGCTACAAACCCTGCAGTTGTTGTATACTTTCTCAGGGCTCTTTTCCTTTAATCTTTTGTTTTGACAAAGCGCAACCCATTTTTTAAATAAAAGCATATATTTTTTAGGATTGGGAAATCTGTGTTTTTTCTCCTTAGATCCCCAACATCCATCCACAGAACAATTTGTACCAACCATCTAAAATAAATTCATTCAATTTACACTTTAGGGACTTTCCCAAGACACGGTGGGAGCCCCCGACTGGAAGGGTTGTAATAATGCAAAAAAATATATGGGGGGTGTAAAAGTGCCTAAACAATCGGAGCAGGGTAAAAAAAGTTGTTTAATTATCGCGTACCTAATTAATAAAAAAGGGGGCTGATAATTGAAATGAGTACATTAGATGCAAAACTCGGTTTTTGCACATTTTAAAAAAATATATATTTTATCTTATTTATGATCATAACTGCACTGCCCACAGCATAACTAAGTAAACCAGATGCATAAGTTAATATTTGTAGAATAAAATACATTTATAAACTTACCGCAGCTGCAAAACTGGGTATTTGTCGGATGCAAAACTCGGTATTTGACCAATCACCAATCACGTCGCTAGTATACGTATTAACTGACGGCATAACAATCACCTGATTAATTGTTATTTTTTTGGTATTTGCACTTTTCACTTGCAAAACTTGGTCTTTGAACGAGGAAGATGCAAAACTATGTTTTTAAATCTTTTGATTTCAATTATTTACTAAACTACTTAATTTTAAAGGACTTTTTTAACTTTTTTGAATAAGAAATGATGCAAAAGCACGTCTATACGATTTTTGTATTTTTTTTTCAAATATGACCTTATGAGCGGTTTTTCGTGTTTTTCTTAAAATCACTGCAAATACAGAGTTGTGCATCTAATGTACTCAAATGACTTACCGTGATTTTCTGTATAAAATAGCAATTTGCGTGCCAAAAACGAGTTTCTGATAGACGTAGAATTCAAAACGGAAAGTATAAAAAGCTCGAATTATGAAAACATAAAATCAGGTAATTTGAGGTTATGCAGGAATCACAATCCAGCGTTGCCAAACTGCTCTACACAGAACATAAGCTGCTCTACACATAAAAAGGCGAAAATTCACACTTTACCCATATATAAAGACTAATTTTTATAACTGTAAAACCATAAGTTTAAAATAAAGGTCAAAGGTTACAGGACAGTGCCTGAGCATAATTCCGCGCGCGGAAACAGGTAGGTATATTTTAAATTTTAAATCATGTGTAGGCTCCATGGTTTAAGTGCCATTTAGGGATTTTTAGTTTTTACCTTGGCAATGATGTGACGTTAAATTTGAATTTTAACGGAAGCTTGGTATGTTTGTGTTTTCTTGTGGCGTTGTTTTTTTAAATTTAGAAGATGCCTCACAAAAAACAAAAAATGGAACTTCAAGAAACGTTGTGTACTAAAATAATGGAAATATTTACGGAATCTCAGCACACTGCAGCCACACACCAAAAATTTGTGGTTATTATGAAAAAGCTTCTAGGCAAAGTAAGTAATAAACAAACACAAATTGTCAAAAGGATTTATTTTTAAAGATTTAATATTTTTATTAGATGTACTTTATTTTTTAGACAAACGATGATATATTCTTTGAGGCAATGTTAGAACCTATGCAAAAAGTATTATGCACTGAGTTTAAACAGAAAAATGAGTTTGTTGATAGAGTGGCTGAATTTATAGCATTGTTTTGCTCAACATTAAAACCTGACCTGAAAGAAGATTCTGATGATGACATTGATGATTGCGAAGAACATCCACTTTTAACCAAAATAATAGATTATCTTTTATTGGTGGGCATTTACATCACACAATTGTAAAATTTTGTTGTGGTTCATTATATTTATTACAAAGTTTAAAATGCATTTAATCTAATGTTTATATGAATTTTAGGCACAAAAAAATGTTTTGGATAAAGTGAGGTTTAGAGCTTGTCAGTTGATAATTAAAATATTAAATCATTTAGTTGGGGTTGAAGTTAGCAGTGAATTTTGTAACAAGCTTGAAGAAAATTTGTTGGAGAGATTAAGAGTAAGATACACCTATATATCCTAAATTTATATTTCTTTCTTACAAAATATTATTTTTAGGATCCTAAAAGTGTAATAAGAATGCAAGCTGTAATATCGTTACATAGGTTGCAAGATCCAACAAATCCAGATGATAGGATTATTAATGAATTTAATCATTTACTTAAAAGTGATCATTTTTCAAAAGTGAGACAGTTGTGTGTGGAAAAAATTGCCATAAAAAGAGAAACAGTGCCACAAATTGTCAGCAGAATCAGAGATGTTGATGCAAATGTCAGATTGGCAGCTTTTAAAAGGCTTTCAAAAATCCCTGATGTTATTAAGGTTTGTAAATATAATGCTGGGTTGGTCAAGACTTGTAATATTGTAATAATTTTTAAAAGGATATTCTATGAACAAAAATAAAAAAAACAAGCAGGTTTATATTTTGATTTGCTAAATACACTTAAAATTTATCAAAGTTAGAGAAATCTCATGTTACCTGAAAAAAATATGGTCCGTTTTTTGGTTCTTTTTCAGTTTTTTTAAATGCTTTTTTACATTTTATGTATTTTTTACTTAGTACCTACCTTTTTTTAATTTTTTTGGAAACTCTCTTTAACTAATTGAGCAAAAAAATAATTATTCTGACTAAAAGTTGCAAATATTTTAGTAAAACTTCGCGGATTTATTTCACGAAAATTAGCAAATGAATAAAAATAGAGAATTTTTATATTGGATTGGATTTAAATAGACTCACAAATTTTCTTTTTTGAGAATTTGGGATAGTATAATTCTTAATCATCATGTTAACATTGTTGTTTGTTGTCATGATGATTAAAAATTAAACTACTTTGTTATGAGGCAATGTTGCCATACAAAGAAAACATGACTCCCCTGTATCTTTTTAAATAATGAAGGAAAAATTTTTTAAACAATTTTCTGGAATTCGTGGGGGTCTGTAGATAATACACCTTCATTTTGTCGCACTAATTGTGGGACACCCTGTATAGTACACACAATGTTGTAATTTAAGTGTTATTGAAAAAATAAGTTTCATATCCCAAAATATCTGTAAAAAATATTAATTTCAATTTTATCGTGAAAATGTGTTTTAAAGCGTTTTTATCGGGGGGCAATTGCCCCCCTGTAAAATTAAAATACTATACAAAAGCGCATTTAAAGCTCATTCAAATATTTAATAATAATAATAAAAAAAAAAGATTTATTGAACGTTATTTATTTACAAACAAAAATTATTTATAATTATCCCAATTTTGATATAAAACAAAAAATAAGCACAAACATGTATATTTATATGTATATACCTATATCAAGTGATAAAAATATCTGCAAACCCATATTATGAAGTTTTTTTATGATACGCTTGAAAACAAAAATCAATTTTGTAGTTCAAAAGTACATTTTTGTTAGAAGATATTGTGACTGTTAATAAATAGATGGCTCTCCAATTAATTATATCTAATAATAAGTCCGCATATTATTAAGCAGTCGTTTAAACGATTTTAACTATAATCATTAGTTTTCCCTATATTAGATGGCGCGCATGAAAAAGCATTATTAATTTAGTTAGTTGGTATATAAAGAAAAAGATTCTGGCATTTTGTTTGGTCCAATAAATATTATTAGATAGTATTATTGGGGTGACACTTTTTGACCTTATGTTATGTTTTGTAAAAAGAATTAAAAGCAGACATTTTACATTACTTAGAAACTATAATACATTCAGTAACAATATTCCACCAAAACCAAAAAGAAAATGATAATTTAATTGACTTTTGTTTTTGTGTTTTCAAATCCAAAAAAGTTTTTTACAATTTATTCCATTTAAAAATATTTGGTCCAAAAATGTTTACCCTGCGGCTGCGTTAAAAAAAATTTTCCCTGCAGCTCTTGTCCTAATATGTCTAATATTTAAATTAAAAATCGACAAATTCTCTCGGTAGCGTGATTAATTTAATGGTATATTGGTGTCAAGTTTTACAAACGAAGTATATGCAAAAATAAAAATATGAACATAACCAATTTCTTTGACAGTCATAATCTTTTTACTTGTTATAAAACTATTTATTAATTATTATTAATTATTAGTTATTAAGCGATTTTTAGTGTAAAGTTTATAAAATTATGTACTTTTCCTATATTTTCAAACGATTTAAATACTTTAAAGGATTTAATACCATGAAACCATGTCAAAAACAGGTGTTGGATTCATTCGTAATTCTTGACAAATCTGTTATAACATCGTGACATCACAATCTCTTCAAGGTCATCGAAGCGTTTTGAATTTTGTAGTTTTTAAAACGCTGTAGAGTTCTTTACAATTGTTTGAGAAACGTAGGAAAATATTTTTAATAACAAACTTGTTTGTGTAGATTCCAAATACGCAATAATTGCAAGTCCCAACCTCATTGTGTCATTTTAAAAATAATGTCTTAATTATTTTACTTTTAATTACTATCGCTAACAAAAAAAACTCATACAGCTATATTGTGGCTGTGTGAATAAAACTTTTCCGTTAATGTCAAGCTGACATCAAGCTTTGTCACATCCATTATGACTTTTTTAACTACATTTTCAACCAAACAATGCAGACGAACTCTGGCAAGCCATTGAAGCCATTTGGAACGAGATAAAGCAAGACGATGACTTCCATGCTTTGCCGTTTGCGGGCAGTAATTGACAAAAACAGAGGGATGACGAAATATTATTTTTTTTTCAAACTTCAACCTAACTTTGTATTTAATTTTAGACCTTTCAAATGTGACGTATCATGTTAAAAGCCATAATTACTCCAACGAAATGATAGAAAATCAGGAACACTAGATTTTTAAGCTGTATGAGTTTTTTTTGTTAGCGATAGTACAACATTTTAGTTTTATTTTATTTCACCCTCAACTGAAAAATATTTCGAATACAAATTGCTTAAGCAATTCTAAGAAGATTTTCTTCTTACCAATTTTTAAATTTCCCAAGAAATAAGCAAGATATAGCACTTTTTCTTAAGCAAATCAGATCGCCATTTTTATTGTTCTTTATTATTTTACTTAAATTTTCTCAATAATATTATTAAATTGTGACAAAAACCTTCAGCCTAAATGTTAATCAAAATTTTATAAATTAAAGCATAGTTTTTTTGACCTGTTTTCCAATGCAACAACTAGTTTGAATAAATTTTTTGACTTAAAAAAATAAATTTAAATCATAAATTAAATTAATTAATATATTTGTTGGAATTAATTTATTGCAACCCTGTTCAGAAGCAATTTATTATTATATCTATGTCACAATCCACACAACAAGGTCTGTTCAATCTCGTACTAAAAATACTAAAAATCACACACATCATTTAATGGCGGCCATTTTTGTTGTTTACAATTCTTGTGCTTTGGGTTTGTACAGATTAATAATCGTTTTAAACGTTGTGTTTCTAATAGAGGCACTTGTAAGCCTCAAATGAGGCATTAAAGTGGTAAGAGCAATCATTTTACTCCTCTTTTGTAAAAAATAAACCTTATTCTATCAAGGCTGTCATCAAACTGTCAAATGTCAATTTTAAAGTTATTTTATAACCCACAAATTAACCTTCAAATTGACATTTAACAGCCCTTATAGAATAAGGTTTATTTTTTACAAAAGGAGGAGTAAAATGATTGTTCTTACCACTTTGAGGTCTCTTTTAAGGCTTGCAAGTCTCTCTGTAAGAAACACAACGTTTCAAACGATTATTAATCTGTACAAACCCAAAGCACAAGAATTGTAAACAACAAAAATGGCCGCCATTAAATGATGTGCAGTGTTGCAGTGATTTTTAGTATTTTTAGTACGAGATCAAACAAACCTTGTTGTGTGGATTGTGATCTATGGTAATTATTGACAGAATTTTATGTAGCGGTTTTGAAAAAATTAAAAAAAAAAACATTTCTTTTCCATCCTCTTTTATGTTTTTTCTTAATCTAAAAAAGCAACGTTTTTTTACGTCACAGCAAGTGATTATAAATCTACCTTTATAAAAGAAATAAATAGATTGCAGACAGAAGAATGATAATCCACACGGGATTTATAGACTCTTCAGAGAAAATTGTGGATTACATAAAGAGCACTTTTATACCATTGTGGCTGGAACATTATCAAAATAATATTATAGACCTTATGAAAAGTATAAGGTTGGATGCAGATGAAAGGGACATAGAAGAAACTACAAGATTAGTTGAACTAGTTTTACCAACATTCTTCAAGTAAACAATTAATAAATTTTATTTATTGGTTTATATAATAAATTTATATTTTTAGGGATAGGCCTTTGTCTGAACTTACTAAAGTCCTTCCATTAAATAATGATAAACTTATTCCCTTAGAGCAATTGGACTGGGAGACAATAAATTATTGGAGAATTTATGTGCAATTTTTGAATAGTCGCGAAGAATTTGAAGTTGAATTAGGTTTAGTTTTACCTGAATTAGTTTATTTTAGTAAATATATCTTAAAGTAAGATTCTATTAACAAAATATATTATCTTGTAGATCAACAAAATTTTATTTTTTAGTTACTATGAAAGGTGTCCGGCAGACTTAACATCCCATGAATTTCTGCTGCAGCAATTTATTTTGAAACAAATGTTTTTAATGACAAAAGGCTACGATTACGCAGATCCTTCCAGTAGGAAGGCTTTAAATGACCTGATTTTTAAGATTCTGGAGAAAGCCACACTAACCACAGAGTTGGTTGAAATCATAGTTAGTAATTTGGAAAACTCAATACCAAACACTGAAAAAAGATCACTGTTTGTGACTGAAATTATTGCAGAAATTATTTCACCCATGAATCCTGAACAATCATACCAAGATGATATGGAAAGAAATTATAAGGTAATGCACCTCATATTTTAAGTAGACTTTATTAGAAACTACAACCGTTTTTTTAATTAAGATGTTTCTTAAATTTTATATTTATAAACAAGTTATACAAGTCTACCAATTTTATAAAGTTAAATAAGAAATTTAAATTATAAGAAAAATCAGCTGACAGACCATGGTGAATAGTTATTTGATATTTTATGTTATTATAACATAAAATATCAATAGGTACTTATCATATTATTATTATTATAATATTATTATATAATATATAATATATATAATATATATATATATAATATATATATATATATAATATATAATATAATATAATATATATATATATATTATTATATATTATATTATACAGGGTGTCCGGGAAAAGGAAGTCAATCCGTTAACCATATATTCTTTGAGTTAAAACAATAAGACTTTCATAATACCATTTTTCAATTTAGAGCTTCATGTTCGATATACAGGGCGACAAAGTTTGAAATTTAAAACTGATTTTTTTTAATAATTCGAGTAATTGATAAGATATTAAGTTCAAATTCGGTACACTACTTCAACATAAATAGTTACATTTTTTGAGACCAACAAAACAAAAAACAATTGTCAAATAATCAAAATAGGGGGGGTCCAGTACTCACTGACTCCCCCTATTTTTAGTACGTGCGCCAATGACTTCCAAACGGTATTTTTTCAGGTAATCATTGATTGTTAAAAAAAAAATGTCTCTTATAAAATTTTGATAAAATGATTTGTTTTAGAGATAATTTGTAAAGTATGGGTCAGTCCATATCAAATCAACCAAAGGTTCTTCCCCCACCATCTCCGATTTTGATAATTTTTGGTAAATTTGTTTACCTCACTAAAAAACTAAAAAATCCCATATATGAATTGTTTTCGATGGGTGCTTTTTGTTTTATTGATTTTTGAAAATCAAAAAATTCCGATAAATTTGGGTTTTGCAAGTACTTACAAAAATAGCGATATCTCGTAAACTATTAAAAGTAGAAAGGTGAGTGATGGCTTATTTTAAAGGCCTATTAGAGACCTTTTTTATGATATATCACATGACCTAAATTTTTTCAAAAAAAAAATTAAATTTCAAAAATTTGATATGGATTGACAAATTATCTCTAAAACAAATCATTTTATCAAAATTTTATAAGAGACAAAAAATTTTCCACAATAAATGATTACCTGAAAAAATACCGTTTGGAAGTCATTGGCGCACGTACTAAAAAATAGGGGGAGTCAGTGAGTACTGGACCCCCCTATTTTGATTATTTGACAATTGTTTTTTGTTTTGTTGGTCTCAAAAAATGTAACTATTTATGTTGAAGTAGTGTACCGAATTTAAACTTAATATCTTATCAATTACTTGAATTATTAAAAAAAATCAGTTTTAAATTTCAAACTTTGTCGCCCTGTATATCGAACATGAAGCTCTAAATTGAAAAATGGTATTATGAAAGTCTTATTGTTTTAACTCAAAGAATATATGGTTAACGGATTGACCTCCTTTTCCCGGACACCCTGTATAGTTGACAACCTCATGTAATCAGGATATAGAACAATAATTTAAAATTAAAGAAAAATATGGTACATTCCAAAATTAAGAAAAGAAACAATAAAACGCAATATTTAATAGAAATATAATAGAAATATATATATTGATGGTAGGTATCTTGTCGCCTCCGGCACATAGATAAGGCGACCTGGCCTCCGGGTTTTCCCATTAAGTTAATTAAAAAAAAAATATATATATATGGGGTGTTAAAATAATAATCAATCCGGATTTCTTGAGAGGGGAAATGTTTTTTAATTTTTAAGGAATCATATATGTATAAATATGAGGAGCACAGACTGTACGTTGTGACCTCCGAAAATTTATCCTGATGCGTCGTTGTGGCCTCCGACAATGTTGCCACATTATCGGAGGTCATAAAGACACCTATTTATCCGCGTGCTGATTTTTAATATAAATATTCATTCAGGCGGACAGTTTGCTTCATATTTTTTGAAAGTCAAAAACGTTCTTTTTTATTTAGTCCTCTAAATGTAATAATAGTATTATTATTATTATAATGCTATGTAAATATAAAACAACTGTTTAAAAGTTTTAAATGATTTATTTGAAATTTGACGTTTCGCTAAACAGTATAAGCTATAGCTTCTGCTACTGCTACTTTACCTAGATTAATATGGAGTTTTATCAAGTAAAGGTCGAAACGATTAATTCAATGTAATAATTTTTTTGTTTAGGTTTAATTTTAAAAATAAACTCAGTTATAGGATTAGTTTTATTAAGAAACTGAATACAAAAAGGTAAGTACGTATTTCTAAAAATAAACAATTATATTGCAAACAATGTTTTACAAATATCTAAACACCATTTTTTTTGCCAGATTAATTAAATGTTGCAGTTTGGATTTAACGGCTGTAATGGGGCGATTTATATTGTTTTTCTGAATAAAATCTTTTATTTGTCGACCAGATGGATAAATTATTTTTTTTATTATTTAATACGAATCAAATTCTTTCTCTAAAGCATCCACTTCGGCTGGAGTCCATCCTAAAATTATTGTTCTAGTTATCTTTACCTATTTTTGTTATAGTCGGTGGTATATTATTTCCATATCCTTAAATTAGTTTTTTTAATAATTTAAATTATTTATATTGTTAAAATTCGGTTCTTAATTATTTTTTTTATTTCAATAATTTAAGTTATTGCGTTATAAATATTTTCTTATTTATTTATTTTATTTATATTAGTATAAACGCGTTATTTCTTTTAATTACATTTTTGTGCCTTTTTTCTCTTTAAACATTTTATTTTGGCGTTTTGGGTGTCTTTTTTAATTTTTTAAGTGCCTAAAAGTCCGGTCTTAAGTAGGTAATTAGCCATCTTAAGAATCCATATATGGGGCAAAATTTGCCAAGTGTACCAGGTGAAAAAAATTTTGTCACAGATTTTGTTTAAACTTTACTTATTTGTTGTTCTTATAACGAAGAATCATAGCATAACAATTTTTTGCTCTAGGATTGTTCATTCAAGAGTTATGGATTATTGAAATTTATCGATTTATTACTTTTTGGTGAAATCGCTTTTTATTTAAAAATTCATAACTTCTGTTCATCTCTTTATTAAATATTTTAATTTAACCACCTTAAATGATTTTTTCCCTACTTTTCAATGGGCTACACCGTTTTTGCAAAAAAAGCTACATTACAGATTAAAATATGATTTGTAGATTTCGTAATTCGGAGGATTTTTGGCGGATATTACTAGAATAATGTTAATTTTTATTTTTGTGGCTAAAGTAAAATATAGAAAGAATAAAGTGTTGGTGTTGTTTTTCTTCAATTTTTCGCCCTACCATACTTTTAAATTAAATTAAAAAAATCATATTTTAATCTGCCGATTGGCAACACAAATATTCTGACTGACCGTTACAGTTTAAAAAGTAAGTAATGTCCGTTCGGCGAATGTTTAGAGCTCGTCATGACAGCAAAAACCGTTTATAGACATTATATATTATTAACGCCATTGACCTATTCAGCTTATAGGCAAACCGTTACGGTTATAACAATAAACTTTTTATTTAATATCATCGATCCTCCTTGCGAAATTTATGTATACCCATGCTTAAACAATTTATGCAAAAAAATACAGTTAAAAAAATATATCGTGCGGCAGTGTAAATATTTAAAATATATCATTCACTAGTCAAACATAATTTTACATTTTAAATTATCATTTTGTATTCGTTTACTCGCATCTACTAGGTATAAACACATACGGCAGTGTAGTAGCTATTCGATGGCTATACCCGGACGCATTCAAATATGAAAAACTTTCCTTCTACATGTCGGGCCCACCCTAAAATTTTTTTTTATTCAAAGGTAACATAATAAACTTCGATTTTATGCTATTTTAAAAAAAATAAAAAATACACATTGTTTAAAAAAATGCAAAATATTGCAAAATTTCAAAAAAAAATTGCAATTTTTTTTTTGCAAAAACGGTATAGCCCATTGAAAAGTACGGAAAAAATCATTTAAGGTGGTTAAATTAAAATATTTAATAAAGAGATGAACAGAAGTTATGAATTTTTAAATAAAAAGCGATTTCACCAAAAGTAATAAATCGATAAATTTCAATAATCCATAACTCTTGAATGAACAATCCTAGAGCAAAAAAATTGTATGCCATAATTCTTCGTTATAAGAACAACAAATAAGTATAGTTTAAACAAAATCGGTGACAAAATTTTTTTCACCTGGTACACTTGGCAAATTTTGCCCCATATCTTAAATCTCCATATTTAATTTAATTTTTTAATTAAATATTTTTAGTTAGCGTTATTAAGAAAAATGTTGGGTTTGATATTTGACATTAAAATAAAGTTGACAAAAGCTGTCTTAATCATGTTAAATTTCTGGAAACGATCATGGAATTTTATATAGTCTAAATAATTTTACATACGGGTCAATATAACGCAAAAGCCATTTTTCCGTATACATAACCATAGTATTGCTGTATTTAACCTTGAAAACTTGTCTATTAATTTATATATCTATCATTGATGTCAAAAAACACCGAAACAATCAGCGTCTATATTTTTCTTGACCATTGTCATAACAACTGGCTTTATCTACCCTTGCGATTAAAGTACTATTTTATACACTATTTTTAATGGTAGAAGGAAACTTTAACAGCAAAAAACGTACATATAGGTACCCACAGAGGTGGGCAAATTAATTGATTAATCGATTATCATTTTTAAGCAATTCATTTATGTGTAAACTTTCATTGTTTTGTTCTAAAACCACGTGGCAAATATCATGAAAAAAATTGTAAGTTTATAAAGGTGTCTTGATTAGCAACCATTTGGTACTTAACGCAGAATTTTAATAGCATCTCGGTCCTTAATGATACCATTGCAATGCATTGTCACATTATAACACTGCACGTACAAAATATTAAAACACTGCACTTGAGC